TATATTATATTTTAATTTTATATTTTATATTTTATTTTAATTAAATTTGGTATAAAACTTTATGTAAAATTAATTATAAATATTACAATAAAGTTTAACTTATATTGTAATTGCACATATTAAAAAAATTTCTTTAAAAAATTTATGTTTGTTATTATTAATATCAAAACTTGTATAAAACAAATTATTAGTTTTTGATACCGTGAACATCCTAAACAGAATTACCATTTTGACATGCATTTTCTAAGTTTTTAGGTTATTTTCAACCAAAAAAAATTTATAGAGCAAAATTAGACTTAGCAAAATTAGACCCAATCCAAAATCCAACCCAACCCATTTGTTATGGGTCGGGTCATGAGTCCTATATTTTAATTCAAAATTCAAAAAGGTTAACATTGAAATTATCCGAACTTAAATGAATTGGATTACAGGTGGGTCTGATCACTCGAAATGATCAAGACTTTTTTCATTCTTTTTTATAAGATTATTTAAAAATTAATTTTTAATTTTCTAATGTTAAAAAGTAAAAAATAAATAAAATACCCAAACCCTAACCTCCTATCAATCTCACTTTTTCTCAACTTTTTCCCTTCTCCACCTCAAGCTCTCTAATCCTTCTCTTTAGTGGCACTCATATAAAAAATCAGATTAAGTAGCACATAATAAGCTGCATCACACAGCACTATTAAAAGTATCTTTTTTTTTTTTTTAACAATAGGAAGCAAGAATGCCTACTAAAAATCAAAACTTAGTGTTCGATGTACCCTTATCATCATTAGAAGTACAAAGACAAAAACATTAAGGTTAGTTCTTAATTGTTAATTTGCTCTTAGTTAATAAAAATGAGTCATAATCCAATTTCTTCTTGTATTTGTTTAAGCATATTCTAGATTCATTTTTTGAATTTTAAATATTGAATATGGCTATATTTTTTATATAATGCCCTTCTAAATATTGAATAAAGTTGTATTTTTTGTATAATATCCATATAAATATTGACTAGGTATTAGATATTAAATATATGTTCAATTTGTCTTTTGAATTCTAATCCTTCGTATCTTTTCTTTTAATGAAAGTTAATTCTTTTATAAAATTATGAATTTTAAATATTATATAAGCATTATATATTTGAGATATATTTTAATTCTACCTATGTAATTAATGATCTTTCCCCTTTCTTTTCACTAGATTGAAATGAAAATTGAATCATGAAATGAATATCAATATTTAATAGAGTTTTCCAACTAAATTATTAATTAATATTAGACTTTGTTAAAGAAAAATAGAGAAAATATGAAAAATTTTTAATTTTAATTTTAACTTATTAAAAAATTAAATCCACCTGATTCAATTTGAGACTCATGTGGGTAGGTCATGGATCTACCATTTAACCCGACGCGTAAAATGATTCAATTCAAAAAATCCAAGATCCAAGATAATCTAATCCGAATACATCCGACCCGACCTGTTTGCCAGGCCTAATCAAAGTAATTATAGCTCAATTGTTAATGGATTTAATAATTTAACTATTTTCTGTGTTGTTTATTTCTTTGTCATTCATATGGACTTTTTTTTTTAATATTTTTTGGGCCATTTGGGCTTTTAAATCCACTAATCTTCCGCCTAGTCCATGTTTCCGATTACCAAAAAAGAGGGAGGGAAAAGCAGATTGAAATCTCTAGAGCATCATCGTGGGTTTTGTTAGGGTTTTAGAAAAGACGACCTCATTTCCGGCGATTTCTTCTACCTATAATCATTCATGATCAATTTTCTGGTAATTTTCATTTGATTTTATATCCCTTAATCCTTATTCACTTTTAATATCAAAGATCCATTTTTTTTTCCTTTTTTAGAGAAAATCTTTTGTTTCTTTCCTTTACGCAAACTACAATTCTAATTGTTAAGTGGAAAAATCTCATATCGAGTATAAAAATAAAAAGATTATGAGTTAAATATAAAAAATGTTACTTTACATATTGTCAATTAATTTTAAGTTGGATGCAAATCTTATGTTGAACCCACATGCACACTTTTCAACATGGTATCGAGCTTAAATTTTGTCATAAAAGACCCGTTATTAACCCACCTGATAGGATCCGAAATTGAGGATACCAGACCTGCATTTAAGGGGTGTGTTAACCATGTGACAGAACCTAACATTCATAGTAAACTTACACTAGTAAACTTACACGTGAGAGGGCGTGTTAAGTGAGGAAATTCCACATTATGAAAATAAAAAGGTCAATCCACTTATTACCAATTAGTTTTAGGTTGTATGCAAGTTTTGTGTTGAACTCACATGCACAATTTTCACACCAATTACAGTATTTCTTTTTGAAATCAGAAAGATTTGAATTCAGGATCGGAACATTTTTCTCATCAACCAAACGGGGATCTTATCAACTGTACTGAATTTCAGAAACCAGGGTTTCTCTGTCAATTCCTGCACAGTTGCGTGAATCGCGATTGCTTCCATGGCAATTCACGGAGGTTTCGACGCCACACCCTTCGTCTATTCCAGCTGGTTTTTGGAATCTTGGTTTGCTCTCTTCCTTTATATTCCTTTTGAATTCAACCGGGTTGTTTATTTTACTACCTTTTAATTTATAGTTTGTATTGAATTTGCATATTTAGGAAATCTTTGGCAATTTTCGTCAAGGGTCAGTCTTGAGCCTGCTGGGGATGTAAAAAAGGAAGTTCCTTTTGAGGTTGGTGATGATGCAAAACCATGCAGCAGATGTCTAGGTAGAGATAGTATTGCTAATGCTGCTGCGAAAGTTGGTCATGCTGTTTGAGGTGTTCACATTCAATCCGATTAATTTGACATAAATTGATCAAATCTAATAAAAAACCAAACAAAACCGATATAAAATTAAATTGGTTTGGATTATAAAATTTTTAAACTGATATAATTAGTTTAGTTTGTAATTTTACTTTCAAACTGCTCGAATCGTCAAATTATAAAATAAAATTCGATTATAAAATAATTTAATTAAATAATATAATATATATATTTTTGTAATAATATTTAAAATTTTTTTTCTTATTTTATAATATGACAATTCCATTAACTTAATTCAAAAATAAAAATTGAATATCCCCATATTTTCTAATTTATTTTTCTTTCTAAATCATGCACTATAATTTTAATTCTAAATTTTCAATTCACTTGCAACTTTATCCTTTATAACTAGTTTACAACTCTACTTTTATAACCCTAAATTTTTAATTTATTCTTAAAATAATATTATGATCTTCCTAATTAAATTTTAAGAAGTATAATTTTAAAAGTTTTAAGACTATATAATAGAACTAATTTTCATATTCTACTATTCTTGCATATTTGGTTGAAGAGTTTTAAATCTTAATTATGAATACTTCTAATCATTTCTAAAAACATTTATGTTAAATTTTATTTGCTCTAAACAAGGTTTGAAAAAAATAGTTTTAACTTTAAGAATTACTTGTATTGTATTTAAAACTTAGAGTCATATTTTATTATCCTTGGTGTCTTTGATGATGTAATCAAGAAGAATTTTCAAATCTTTTCGATCTTTACAATTATAAATGAGTATAAAAACTTGTCTATAATTTGTGCATTTTATTATGTTTCTAGTGATTTAGATGCTAATGTATTTTATAATTATTGTTTCCTCAAAAATCCTTAGCCGGCCCCAATCACGTGTTTGGGAGTAGTACATGCCACTTGCTTTGTCTAAAAACAAGAAAAACAAGATTTGCCAAACGACCTTCTCCTTTCCAACAGTTAACCTCCAAAATGATGGTTGGAAAGAACGTTTATGAAATAAACCATGCCCCAGACGATGTTACAAAACAGAAGGTGGAGTTTTGCAAAATAAGTTATTAATTGCCTTGGACAGGACTTTACAACCACTAAGGTGTAAGAAAAGCTAAAAACCCTAAATTAAATACAATATCCTAAGGCAATTAACCTAATATAAAATAAATAAAGGAAAATAACATGTCACAAAATTAAACTTGCAGACAACAAACTGTGTAAAATCGCAAAGAATGATTTTAACTTCACGATCCATAACAATTAAACTAATTACTTACAAATTTAAAAATAAAAATAATTAATCTACTTAATTGCTAAACTAAAGGAGAATCAATGAATAGAATAAATTCTGGAAACTTGAAAAATAAAAATCCAAAGTTGGAAATTGAAATTAAATATATTGCAAGTCTGGTAGTTGTGTAGAAACAAAGAAAATACGATAGAAAGCAATCAACCAATTTACACAAACAAATAATTGAGATAAATCCATAAGGAAAAGAAAAACTAACCTAATAAATGGGGCAGACCTGTTTTTAGGGTTGAATCCCTTCCAAATCCTTGAAAAACTAATGAAAGTTGTATTTTTTGAAAGAAAATACAAGCGAGGATGGAAATACCTAAACTAAAGTTATGAATAAGGATAGATCTTGAATTCTAATATGGAAACTATGCTGAAATTTGGAAGAAACTAATTGGAAAATTGAAAAGCACATGCATTGGGTTGTTTTCTGTAGGGCAAGCTGTGTCCTTGATTTTTTTCCTCCTGTTTTCCTTTTCTTCAGTGCTGGGAACCATCCTCCATGATCTTTGGCCTTTTTCCCACCATAAATAGATAGTGGGGATTTCACGTCTGGGCAGTTATTTGGTAGTTGATAGGTTTTTTATTCAATTTTAACTCTAATAAAACCCTAGGAAAAATCTTCTCTTAAAAACCTTCAACTTCTTAATTTAAATCAAACTCAACCACCAGAAATTATTTTAGCTGCTACCACCTAAACCCAACCCCTTTAAAATTTCATCTAGGCCTTTAAACTCCAAGCCAGCCCAACCCAAATCAGCTTATTGACTCTCCTTTTAGATTGGACCTTAATTTGACATATGACTTTCTCTTATTGGTTTATTTTTAAATGTAAACAGTTATGTTTTTTACTTAATATTAATTTTTTTATATTATCTCATATATTTAATAATATTAAAAACCGATTAATCTCACTGAACTACATTGATTAGATCTAAGTTAGATTTGTTTGATTATCATATAATAGTAGATTGAATTGGTTTAAAAATTTTACTAATCGATTAAATTCGATTGATTTAAAAAAATATTTAAATCTAAACCAAACCTCACCGCGAATACCCTACATGCTAATTTCAACTTGTCTGTTCTCCAGGGTATTGTGTTGAGAGTTAACACTACAGAGTTCCATATTGAGTTATGATTTCGAAAGATTGACTTTTTCGTTTTGTAAATTGTGTATAGGGTTCTACGAGATAACTGCTGCCGAGAGTGTTGGTTCTGGAACTATTATTGATGCGGATGGCACTATTTTAACATGTGCCCATGTTGTGGCTGATTTTCGGGGCATGCACCCTTCTTCTAAGGCGAAGGTCAGTGGTTACTTGTACATTGGAATGCCTAGGTCTAAATAGTCATTTGAACACTGTCCTTGATGATGCATTTGTAGTTTTCACTTAGAACCATTCTGCCATATCAATATTGTCATATCTAAACTCTAAGTTTATGTAAATCCTGGGAAAATTCTCTCGGAATGGTCATGTTGCTGAAATTGCAGTGATGCAAACTCTAGTCAATTTCAGAATTATTTTATAATCCATGCTTGGTTTTGCATCCACATCTATCCTTGTTTAGCTCTGTTTTATTTTTTTAAAAAAAGCATGCTAATGGAAAGATATTGTTAGATGACATTTGACATGCTGTAGCATGTCTAGTTACACTTAGCCAATCAATTCCTATTTTTAGTTAGTGATCTTTGAAAACTTCATTTGTGAGAACTGAGAAACCATTTAAATACTATTAGATTTTTTTTTTTATGAGAATTACCCTTCACAGCTTTGAAAACCTCTTTGTGGCTTTGATGTATGGTTAATGTATACAGGTTGGTGTGGCTTTACACGGGGGTAGAACATTTGAGGGTACAGTAGTGAATGCTGATTTGCATTCCGATATTGCTATTGTGAAGATTAAATCTAAAACTCCACTCCCAGCTGCAAAACTTGGTTCTTCAAGCAAGCTCCACCCTGGGGACTGCGTATTATCCTTTGGGCTGCCCACTTTCCCTTCAAAATACTGTCACAGCTGGTGTTGTAAGGTATCGAATTTTTTCCAGCATTTTGAAGTCATTCTTCCATTTCTAATTCCATTACCCTTTCTATTCTCAGTAGTCAATTTATGGTTATGCTCAATATAAATGGAACTTTGTTGACTATTACAAACTAGCTAAAACTGAGAAAAAGAACAACTTTGATATGGAAGTTCATCACAGATGGCTAATGCTGTTTCTTTTCCTGCCCTTTTTTCCTTGTATAGTTGTGTTGATCGCAAAAGCAGCGACTTGGGCCTTGGAGGGATGCACAGGGAGTATCTACAAACAGATTGTGCAATCAATCCTTAACTCTTTCACTCTCTATCAGCAAACATCAATTTTTAACACCCTGCATATCATTGTAACCGTGTGAATCCTTTGCGTTTTGTGGTTATGATTTTAGGCATTGATTGACAGTGCTAAAATGCTTGTCATACAACCTTTTTCCCTTGTTAGTACAATATGCCCCTGTAAGGATTAAAGAGGGTCTTATGTAAAGGAGTTTGTTAACCAAACTGGTGTAAACCAGCATCCAAAACCTTAATTCTAGAGTTAAGTTCAAGGGTTCAAGTCACTACAATAGCTAACCAGTAACATTTTTGCCAGTAAAAAATTATAAACTAGAAGAAGATGTGCTGGTATTATTGCATCTTTCTTATGGATTTTTATATGTGTTTGGGCATATTACCAAATTTCTCACATGAAAGGTTTACCTAGACAAAACTAGTTGGTTCTAGTAATACTGAAGTTAGAAGCTAATGGTGGACTACCATTAATGGATATTCTTTTCTTTTTGCTCTCTTGGTGTAGGTAAATTGTGGTGGTCCTCTTGTTAATGTTGATGGAGAAATTGTTGGTATCAATATAATGAAAGTCATAATTGCAGATGGGTTGAGTTTTGTGGTACCAATTGACTCGGTTATCAAAATCATAGAGCACTTCAAGAAGAGTGGGTATATTCTAATTTTCTGTGTAGAACTATTCAGGTGCCTAGATACAAATGCATTGCATACATATATAATATGACATTCAGAGCATTTTTGGTTGATGGAATGGTTATTCCTTTGTCAAAATATAAAATAAGATAAATTAGATAGAGAACCTAGCTAATTAGGAATGCCAATTCCATGCTTTTACAACTTTTCTTCAAATAAGTTAGGAGGAGGAAGAAATGGTTAATCATGTCTCCCCCAAGGTTTTAGCTCTTTCTTCTTTACACTTACTAGAAGAAAAAATCTACAGGATTAGTATTGAGATTATATAGAAGAAATTGGTAGGAGAAACCTTGCCAAGTTGTTGCATCCGAACATCCAAATTCCAAAAACTTATTTTAAAAAAAACCACCTAGACCAGCTAAGCACTCTAGACTTATTTAAGAAATTCTTACCATGGCATGGCGCTTTTTACAAAGCTTGCTTCTTAGACATCCAACAAACTGCCAAGCCCTTCCGTGAGACTGGCAAAAGCATCGAGTACCGTTCCGACCACGAGCAAACTGCCCAATTGTCTGCCCGCCGCTTGTTGGGCCGGCATGTATCCATGCCCACCATAAGGCAGGTGCCCGATATACCCGTAACCCTACTAGCCGAAGTGAAGTTAAATCCAACACTTCTCGGTCAAATGGCTACATGATAAATACAGTGGACTTGCTCACACTTGATTTGTCATACACAATTTCCCGATCACGAAATTACCGCTGAAGGGACACGTCACACTCCGATTATCCTATTAAGCAAACAACATGGACACCTCACGAAGGCCTATAAATACTCCCTAGGGACCACCTCAAAAAGGTAATTGAAACCAACCTAAAGCTCTTTTTTCATTACTCTAGAGGTAGATTCGATTATTATTGACTTAAGCATCGGAGTGTCTACCCTGAGGACCCATCTTGGGGCTTTGTAGGTTCATCCGAAGTGAAGACGCGGACTGAAGAAGGATCTCTGGTTTGGTGCAATTATATTGGCACCGTCTATGAGAATCTAAACTAAAAGCTCTTTTATTGCTTTCTCATCATGGTCAGCACTCGATCTGTCTGAGCTAGAAATCAAGCTCAACCTCTTGGACAAGGTCAAGGTCAACTCCCCAACAACCTTCCACCTCACCTATCACCTCAGATCCCAAATATGTTCCCTCCTGTTGATCATACAGAAGGAGGAGATGAAAACCAACCTCACAACTCAGCTTCCACCGCTAATCAAGATGTAGTTACAGCTCAGCTTGCTGCTATGCAACAACAGTTTGGTGTCTTTCAATTAGTTTTGGCTCAACTCCTAGCTTGGAATAATCCTGGCGATCCCCTTATCAATTTACTGAACCCTACTCCACAACCCCCAGTTCAACAGCAAGACCCTCAACCAGTTCAGCATGCTCTTGCTCTTAGTGAGTCTCAAGGTCAGTCTCACATAGCCCCAGCTCAACAACCTCTACCTGATGATGTCACTCAACATCTAGACAGTTTAGAAAAACTAGTAGCTGAATAGCGAGGTGGCCCACCTCCACACCATAATACTTATTCCATACCTCATCCTCTGAACACCAACATCACATTGGAACCTTATCCCGCTGGCTTCAAGATTCCTCAGCTCGAGACATATGATGGGACAAAGGATCCCGATGATCACCTCCATGCCTTTTACTCCTGTATGCAAGCTCAAAACACCTCTGAATCGTTAATGCGTAAGATCTTTCCCTCCACTCTCCGTGCTAATGCCCGAACCTGGTATTATTGTTTGCCCCCAAGATCTATCAGCTCCTATTCAGAAATGGCATTTGCTTTTTCCATAAAGTTTTCTAGCAGAAGGTTGATAAGGAAAACTACTTCTGAACTGATGCGAGTCAAACAGAGGGACGGAGAATCTCTAAAGAATTACATGAGCAGGTTCAATGATGTAGTTCTCGAAGTCAGCTCCTTCAACCAAGCCGTGGGAATTGCGGCTGTAATTCAAGGTCTCCAACATGAAAGATTCAGAGATAGCTTAATAAAGCATGCTACTGCTACTTTCAACGAGGTTAATGACAGATCGTTGAAATTCATAACTGTTGAGGAATACGCTTTATCCCAGAAACTAGTTATTCCCAAGAATCAAAATCTATATTGGAGAGATGAGGGTCAAAGCAGAAAACGGATGAAGACAGTGCAAAACTGAGGTCCGATGTCGACCTCTACAGCGAGATTTGGAAAGCTGAACTCACTACCCCCTTAGTAAAATATCAGTAAAGAACCGATTACCTGGACCCCTTTCAATCTGTCGAGGTCGCAGATATTCATGCAGATCAAGAATAAGATGGATTTGAGGCGACCAACGCCGATGAGAAGTTCTACTGCTACACGTGATCATACCAGATAATGTGATTTTCATCAAGATCATGGTCATACAACGGAGCAGGGCAATAGTCTTAGGTTAGAGTTGGAAAGTCTAGCTCAGAAGGGAATGCTGAACGAATACATCCAGAGAACTGAGCAACCAAAGTTTGTTCGAGAACAAGGACCACCACCATAGGGGTCTCGTAATGTAGGTAACAGACAAGGTGTGGGATATCAACAAGCGCCACCTCCACTCCCACTACCGGCCAGAATTATACATATGATTATGGGAGGCTTGGAAGTAGGAGGTTTGAGCTCTAAGCAGTGAAAGTTGTACGTCAGAAAGGTGAAGCATCAAAACCGAGCTCAGAAATGAAAGTTTGACGACGCTGATTGGAAGAATCAACCCATCACTTTCACATTTGCTGATTTCAATACAGTTGTCACAACCCACAATGATCCTCTAGTCACTTCCTTCATGATTAACAACTATGAGGTACAACGTGTCCTTGTTGACACAGGGAGTGCACTAGACATTATATACTTTCACTGTTTTGAGAGTCTTGGGCTAGATCCAGCTTTGTTGTAGAGGTACGATAGTCTCATTTATGGGTTCAACAACCAACCTGTTCAGGTGAAAGGAGTCCTTACCCTTAATGTTGCTTTTGGAAGCGGCTGCACTTATGTTACCCCTTCGTTCGGTTTTTAGTCGTCAAAATGGCATCCTCTTTCGATGTTGTTATCGGACGACCCACATTAACCGAGATCTGAGCTGTGGTCTCTCAATCTCACCTCTCCATGAAATTCCCAACTCCCATGGGGATAGCAACACTATGAGGTAACTAGGAGGTGGCTAGACATTGCTACATTACCTCAGTTACAAGGCCTTAGAAAGGCAAAGATCAGATGCGAGAAACCATTCCCCAATGAGTTCCTAACAATCAGCAAGTAATGGGTGTTGAGATAGTAGACAACTGACCAGAGGATAAAACCAGGGCTACCCTAGTTGAGGATGTAGAAGAAGTGCAAATTGATGACAAAGATCCAAACAGGAAAACATAAATTGGAACTTGGTTAAACCCAAAGGAAAGAGCAGACCTAATAGCTTTCCTTTGAGCTAACAAGGATGTCTTCGCTTGGACCTCAGCCGACATGTCAGGGATCTTAACCTTGGTATCTCAACACAAACTCAGCACTAATCCATTAAAGAAACCAATAGCCCAGAAACGACGTCTCTTTGGGGGGGGGGAAGGCTTCAGGTTATAAAAGAAGAGGTAGAGAAGCTCCTACAAGCTGGTTTTTCAGAAGAGTTGATTACTGCGAATGGGTGGCTAACTCGGTGTTGGTAAAAAAGTCAAATGGTAAATGACAAATGTGCATCGACTACACAAATCTCAACCAAGTTTGTCCCAAGGATTGCTATCCGATGCCAAGCATTGACAAATTGGTTGAAGTGACTTCTAGAAATGAGAGATTAAGTCTCTTGGATGCATATTCTGGTTACCACAAGGTGCCAATGGCTCCAGAAAATGAAGAGAAAACCTCGTTCTATGCAAGTGATGAAATTTACTACTATATCATGATGCCTTTTGGCTTAAAGAACGCAGGTGCCACTTACCAGAAAATGGTGACCATCGTCTTCCGATCTCAGATCGGTAGGAATCTAGAAGTTTATGTCGATGACATTGTGGTAAAGAGCCTGAAAGCAGAAAACCATCTAGCTAATCTCGATGAAACATTCAACAACCTCAAAAAGAATAGAATGCGGTTAAACCCAACCAAATGCATCTTCGATGTGGAGTCTAGGAAATTTCTGGGTTTCATGGTTTCCCGGAGAGGGATTGAGGTTAACCCAGAAAGGATTAGAGCAATTGTCAAGATGGAACCACCGAAGTCGATGAAAGATATATAGAGATTAACTGGAAGGGTGGTAGCTCTTCATAAATTCATATCTAAGTCAGTAGATAAGTGCCTGTCATTCTTTAAGATCATGAGGTCAGCAGCCCAGAAAGACGGATCTGGCAAACAGAAGAAGTTTAAATGGAACCAAGAATGCCAAGCTACATTCGATGAGTTAAAGTCTTATCTTAGCTCACCACCCCTACTGACTAAAGCTATGGATGGAGAAATTCTCTATTTGTACCTCGATATTTCAAACGAAGCAATTAGTTCAGTTTTGGTGAGAGAAGAAGGCAAACAACAGAAACCAATTTATTATATCAATAACGTGCTGCACATAGCAGAACTGAGGTACCCTATTGCTGAGAAAGCAATACTAGCAGTTGTCACTTCGGCCAGAAAGCTGAGGCCATACTTCCAGTTACATCTAGTCATCGTCCTTACAGACCAACCTCTTCGATAGATCTTACAGAAATCGGAGTGCTCCGGAATGTTAATTAAATGGGTAGTAGAACTGGGGGAATTCGAAATAACATTCCAGCAGAGGTCTGCAATTCGAGCTCAAGCACTGGTAGACTTTATTGTAGAATGCACCCCATGTCATCTAAACTCTAACCCTGAGTTAAGCAATTGGATCTTATATGTTGATGGAGCATCAAACAGCAAGGGCTCAGGAGCTGGTGCTTTCCTGGTGGGTGCAGATGGATATCGAAGTGAGCATGCTTTAAAATTTAACTTTGATGCCACTGCTAACATGGCAGAGTATGAAGCTTTGCTACTTGGCCTGTAACTAGCATTGGAGCTGCAAGTCGTGGCCATAAGAGTCTACAGTGACTTCCAATTTGTGGTCAATCAAGTCAACTCAATTTGCGAGGTTATTGATCTTGTCATGGCGAAGTATGTAGCCCTAGTGGCCGAGCTGAAGTGCAAGTTCTAGAACTTTTGTTTGAGCAAAATCCCCTGAACTGAGAATGAACAGGCAGATTCACTTTCTAAGTTCGTCTCTGATAACTCTTTAAACTCCAGATCAGTTTTTGTGGAAATTTTAGATGAACCAAGCTTCATGAAGCCAAGAATGATGGAGATCAGCACAGACCCGAAAACACCGAGCTGGATAGATCCAATTATCTCCTTTTTACAAGACAGGATAGTGCTTGAAGACAAGCAAGAGGCAATGAGGTTGAGGAAGAAAGCGTCTCGATATACACTCATCAATGGGGTCCTCTATAAGAGATCTTTCTCACTCTCTCTTCTACGATGCTTGAATTTTTACGAAGTTGAGTAGGCACTTCGGGAGGTGCATGAAGGTGTATGTCAAAGCTACATTGGTGCTAGAACCCTGGCTCACAAAGTCCTCAAGCATGGATATTACTGGCCAAATATGTATAAAGATGCTACTCACTTTGTTCAGAGATGCCCGAAGTGCCAATTCTCCGCACATTTAACTCACCAACCAACAGAAGGGCTCACCAACTTGGTAGCATCGTGGCCATTTGCTCAGTGGGGACTTGATCTTTTGGGCCCATTCATGAAAGGGGTTGGAGGTGTAACCCATCTGATTGTTGGAGTTGATTATTTTACGAAATGGGTTGAAGTTTGGCCATTATCTAGTCTTACTTCCACAAAGGTCGAAGACTTTGTTTTTGGCTCAATTATCTGCAGATATGGGATCCCGAACCAGATTGTGGCCGACAATGGTACTCAGTTTAACTGTTCTTCCTTTTGAGATTTCTGCTTTAGTTACGGGATCAAACTACAGTTCACCTCGGTTTATCATCTGGAGTCCAATGGTATGGTAGCATTTGTTAATAAAGCTATCTTAGAAGGAATAAAGCCGAGGTTGGAGCAACACAAGGCCAGGTGGGCAGACGAGCTCAATGACGTCCTTTGGGCATATAGAACTACGAGCCGAACTGCCACAGATACTATTTCCAACCGAAGATACTTTCATTCTATTTTTATTTTCTCACCTACAGCTTTACCCTAGATTAAATATGCATAATATGTAAAGCATATCCTAAAAACTATAATTTCATGAAATAGGTGAAACACCCTACCACCTAACCTTTGGTACCGAATCAGTCATTTCTATTGAAATAGGACTCTCAAGTTTCAGGGTAACCCATTTCGATGAAGGACGAAATGGACAACTGTTTCGGGAGAACCTTGATCTGCTTGCCAAAGTCAGAGAAGAAGCACGACTTCGAACTCTTGTATACAAGCAGAAATTAGCCAACTTCTACAACAAACGAGTTCGCCCTCGAACATTCAAAGTAGGAAACCTTGTTCTCGGAAAGGCTTGCCTATCAGGGTTTGAAACTCATTTTGGCAAACTGGCCCCAATCTGGGAAGGCCCTTATACGGTGGCCGAAGTGCCACATCCTGGTGCCTATATCCTCCAAGACGTTGAAGGAAAGAGAGTTCTTAGAGTCTGGAATATCAATAACTTGAAGAAATTTTACCCTTAATAAATTTCTTTCAAGTAATCTATGTCTTATTCTCCTTTATACTTATTACTTCTTCATTGTTGAAATTCATTTCATCTCTTATTCTGTATATCCGAGGTCAATTTGTTTAGAATTTATTCCATGGACTTCACTTTTATTAATGAATGTCACTTCACATACGAAGTGATTTACTTCATTTCAGTTCATCTCTGAAATGATTTACTTCTCCTCAACTCATATCCGAAGTGATTTACCTTATCTCAGTTCTTATATTAATATAAAACAACCAAAACGTAAAGCAAGTATTACACATAATTGTAAAAACAAAATTTTCATTAAAAACAAATAATAAAATTACAATTTATTCAATTGTTCCAATGTTATCAAATAAGAAAAATCAAAAAATACAAACTCCTAATTATTCTACTGAGGGTGGTGGCTGAGGTGGCTCTTGCTCGGCTAGAAGAGGTGGCTGGTAATCATCAGAAGGAACTGGATGGACCTCAACTTGCAGAGGTGGTTAGCTCTCCTCCACTTCAGCTCCTTCTACCTTTGCTCCTACTTCAGCTCCCTCCACCTCTGCCTTTTCTTCCTCCATTGCCACGAACTCGAAGTCGAAATTTGGAGGCAAAACGGTGCGCCCTTCTGCGTCATGATCCCATCTCAGTTTAATCTGAAGATGAAAATCTGTTGACATGCTCTCACTGTTTTCCTGCACCCTTTCCTCTTGTTCGTCGAAGGTCACCTTCGTAATATCCACTTCGGGATATTCAGTTTTCACATTTTTTCTACAGTCGGTGAAGGCGAGAATAGCAGTTGGCAGTCAGTAGAGGTTGACAATGTTGTCAAACGAGCTGGAGTTGACGAAGTTGTTGATGTGCTCCTTCATCCCGTTGTGTACCAGCAGTTGAACATTTTTTTTCAGCTCCACCGCAGCTTCTTTCATCACTTTTATCTCCTTTTCTTGAGCCTCGCGCTTGCTTTTAGAGATTTTTCTCTTTTTCTATTCAAAGATGAGCTTGGTACTGAGGGAATCCCTCTCTTGCTCAAGCTGTTTCACTATTGGTACCACCTCATCCAATGCTTCTTGCATGTCCTTGTTTTTCTTCTCCAGCTCCTCCTTCTCCTTCTACAACTAGTCACACTGCCTTTGCAAGAGGGAGCACTCCTTCACACTCTCCATAAATTCCTGGGCTAGACCATTCACCCAGCTCACACTCTGCAATCCAAGTAGAAGTCAGAAAAAAAAAAAAAAAAAAACAACACACCAACAACTACAAATAAATCAACTTAACATACCTCCAGAGCATGCTTCACCACAGTTGCCCCACAATATCTCATAGCCTTGTCCCTCGCTTGACACTTGTCCACTTCGGGGAAGGTTGCATTAATAAACCTCCTTGCCCCCGTTGCATTCTTCGCATCAAACATGTTGCTCTTAAAGGACAATGGGGCAATGAGGCCTTTCCCTTTAACAAGAGCCCTTACCTCAGCCCCCTCAGCCTCAGACTCCTTGAGCTCAAGATCGAGCTCAACAAAAGGGGGCCAAGGTACGAACTGTAGAACCTCGCTCCCCCTAACTTCCTGCTCCACCACCTTTTTCTTCCTTTGCAGCGCTGCTACCTCCTCATTGCCCTTCCTTTTCAACTCCAGCCTGGGCCTCACCTCCTCAACTCCAGCTGAGGTGCTAGGCGCTAACTCCTTCCCAGCCTCCACCTCATTCACCTCCTTGGTTGAAGTCTTTGACTTCTTCCTCAGCTTCTTTGGGATAGCTACCCCCCCAACAGCATTTAAAAATTTATCCATCTTAGCTGCAAAACAACATAAACAAAACGTGTCACAAATACAACTTTATGTCCCACATCAAGCACTACAATGCAAAATACAAACAAACCTTCACTAAAAGCGCTAGGCCCATAAAGCTCAGCAGTCTCTATACAATCCGCACTGGTGAGGTACATAATGTTCACTAAATTACCCCCTCCCTCATCAACTTTCCCACCTCTTCCTCCTCATCCTCATTTAAACTATATTTATTTTGGTTGGCTTTCTTAGCCTTCCAAGATGACAACAATTCTACTTCAGCATCCCCCCTCTCCCACTTAGTGTCATCTACAAAGAAAAATTTTTCCTTCCATCCTTTAATGGATGAAGGACCCGCTATAAATAAGCTCCTACTCTTTTTATTTGACACTCTAGGGGTCAAATAATACCACCCTTTGTCCTTTCTACTACCCTCTTTAGAACAAAAAAATATTTAAACATATTTACAGTTGGCACATTAACCCCCTAAGCTCGGCAATAAACTAAAAACCTTATTATTACCCACATAGCATTGGGGGCTAATTATGTCAACCCTATACTATAATCTAATAATAGACCCACAAGCAACTCAGGAATTGGAAACCTAAGCCCAGCTGTCAAATAATGAGCATACATGGGCATCCAATAATCCCGAGGTGCAGAACACGCCCTCTCCTCTACCCTAGCAGGCCTAATCAAAATTCGGGAAGAAATTTCATAACTTTCAACTAAATAGCCCAAGCTATCCCTGGTCCCGAGCTCAGACTCATACTACTTCACCTCAAACACAATGTCTACATCTACATCATAACACCTCTCATTCCTACCCTTGACTTCTACTACAGTAATGGGTACCCTATCTCCCTTTACCCCAACTATCTCACTTCTCCCCGCCCTCTCTTCCGTCCTCTTCGAATCAGATGACTCACCGGTCATTACCTTTTTACCTCGGCTGCGGCCACTATGACTCCGGTCATTACTTTTTACTACGACTCCGGCCACTAGACTCAGGTCATTACTTTTTACTATGACTTCGGCCTCTATGACTTCGGTCATTAATTTTTAGTACGGCTCCGGCCACTATGACTTTGGTCATCATTTTTTACTACAGCTCCGGCCACTATGACTCCGGTCATCACTTTTTACTGCGGCTCTGGCCACAATGACTCCAATCATTATTTTCACTACGACTCCGGCGACCATCATTCCGGTCACATTTTATTTTGGGAATGGCCAAAATGACTCCATGTCACATATCCCACTATTAGTTACGACCATACAAGAATTTGAGTTACCAATTTTTATTTTATTTTAACTTCTGTAACTCATCTTTAATAATTTCATTCCTCTTTCTATCTATTTATGCACTACTCCCATTATCTCTAACAACATCATTCACAAGTGAATGACTTCGAGGGGGGAATAGTGTAAGGATAGGTCCGAGGTCCTTAACCTCGGACGTACAGTAACAATTCCTTAATAGCCGAAGTGAAGTTAAATCCAGCATTTCCCAATCAAATGGCTACATGATAAACACAGTGGACATGCCCACACCTAATTTATCACACACAATTTCCCAGTCTTGAATTTACCGCCTTAAGGGACACGTCACACTTCGATGATCCTGTTAAGCAAGTCATGTGGACACCTCACGAAGGCCTATAAATACCCCCCAGGGGCCACCTCAAAAAGGTAATTGAAACCAACCTAAAGCTCCTTTTCCATTACTCTAGAGGTAGATCCGATTATTACTGACTTAAGCATCGGAGTGTCTACCCCAAGGTGGGGCTTTGCAGGTTCATCCGAAGTGAAGACGTGGACTGAAGAAGGATCTTTGATTTGGTGCAATTACAATACTTGAAAAAGTTGAACTTGTTTAATGGGTCTCTTGCCAAAAGCATCATCACTACCATCAGCACCAGCTCCACCACCTGCCTTGCCTTCCCCTTTTATCACTTGGTTTCATTGAATCCATTAAGTGGACTATCCAAACACCGAATAATAATTCTAAAAAACATGAATTACCATGTGATATTTATACAGAAAATAGATATATAAAAGTTACATGGTTATGTATATATATATGGTATACATTAGTAACTATTAATACAATTCTAACTTATAAAGTAAATCAATTAGGATAACTTATATTTATAGGGTAAGTCTTCTTTACTCATATTTTCATAAAACCACCATAGAGGAAAAACTGACTTTTTCCTATTTTTTTTCTTTTTCAATTACTGGTATGTTTTCTTCTTGCAATGGTGACACAATTGAGATAATTAACTCAAGTAAAGAAAAAATGTAAAAAAATTCAAACAGCTCATAAACACTCAGCAGCTCTTTGGCCCTTGAACAGATTCACCAACTTATGTCTATGAATAACAACTTTCCTATTTGGAAAAAATAAAAAACACATTGTCTTCACCAGTTGCCTTGTTCTTGCTCATTGGCATATTCTTCCTCAAATTATATCAAAAGCTCTAAAACACCAACTCGGCTTTCCTCATCTTTCTTCCACTTTGACTTGATTGGCCATCAAACAAAGACACAAACCATTTTGGCTTTCCTGTTCGGAAGGCATGATATCCCATTAGCAGTCCAAAAACAACTCCTCATCCATAGCCTAACACTAAAACCGTCCAGCCAAATCTCCATAACTCAGCTTTTTCTTGGAAGGAGCTTGGTAGTGTCCCATTTCCATTACAAGATTTTGATAATGGGATTCCACATAGTCCAAGGTTTCTTTCATAAGAATCATTTCCAAAAGTGCTGAATGATTGCCTTGTGGTATGCATTCGACAATATGATTATTTGAAAGATTCAATACGGCAAGTTGTGTCAAAGATACCAATTCATTTGGAATTTTTCCTGCCAGCTTGTTAGAAGAGAGATCCAACCATTCTAGATTCGTCAAATTCCCTAGTGATGGTGAGATAGGACCAATAAAGTTGTTATGAGAAAGATTAAGCCCCTTGAGAGAACTAAGCTTTCCAATTACATCTGGAATTTCTCCTTCAAACTTGTTATTTGAGAGATCAATGCTAGTGAAT